GTGGAAATTTGAAGATGCCGGTTAATTTAGCCAGATTTTTATCCATAGAGCAGTTAGTGGATATAAAAACTTATTTTTCAGATATTAGTATTTATTATTATTTAATACAATTGATTTTGATAGCATGATTTTTAGAATAATATGGATTTATAATCAAATATTTTTAAAGTTAAATTTAATTCAATTAAATCATTTGATTAACATGTTATATGAATATAAATGTTTCGGTATAGCTAAAGTTGTTTTTAAAACCACCAGAAAGCATCAAGGTGATTTTACCCCAGTCTGCACTGATGTGAATGTGTTTCCACAATATATGATTAGTTATGATGATTTTACCCGCTCTGCATTATTGTGAATGTGTTTCCCTGGTGTATGACCAGATTATCAGAGGTCTTTGGGACTCACTCTTGTACACACATAGACTTTGGGCCGTATACTAAGGTGATTAGCCTTTGAGACAGCTCTGTGTACGTATGATCAGATTATCAGAATATCAGATTTGAATGGCTCTGCCGTGTACATCGAGATTACTCTGTACATGAGTAAGGTTATTCATTGGGTACCTTTTTGGTGTGATTTTTCACTATTTCTAAGCTTATCAGATTTTAGATTATAGAATTCAGTCTATTCAGTTCTCAGATTAAATCTTTCAGTTTATAGTATTGAGTAGCAACGATATTTCATAGATTTTCACGGATGTCATTATTTATATTCGTCACATTTTACAGTTACTTATCTAGAATGAAGAACAAAGAATTTTATGATATATTCATGTTTGATTTTAAAAGTGTTACTAGTTTTCAGAATTTCTCAAAGTTTTAGTACTGCAAAAATTTTCAGAAAATATGCATGAATGAGAAAAGTTTACTTATTTACAAATTATCCACTCACTGAGTTTTAAACTCATATTTTTTTTCACATTTTTTTTATGAGACAGAAAGCAGACGAATTGAGCAGCTTTAGAGCATGTCGAACCACCGAATTGTGCCACGCACCATAGGTTGTATGACATCCTTTATCAGATTATACATTATGTGTTCTTTTGGGATGCATATAGTTTAAATCAGAAAAATTCATATTGGGCTCATTAGATATTTGGTATCTTTAGTATATTAAATGATTGTTGGTTGTAAAGCAAGTAAATATTGATTTTTCAACATTTTATTTGAATAATTTGTATTTTGAGGGACTGGCGTACCCTGATTTATATAATAGGTATTGATTTGAGGAAAATTGGTTATTGTTCAGGTGATTTTAGTTCGTATTTCAGGAAAACTATGTCAAAACTCTGTTAAATTTTTTTTTAGTCAAGCAAGTCAAAGTTGCCTTGGTGGTGAGTCCGACATTTAGCTGGTATCTATCATCGGAGCATGACACGTGTCGAGTCCATTAAAATGATTCGGGACGGGTCGTGTCAAGTATTCCACTAAATTGACTTTTTGGTAAAGAGATAAGCCCAAGGGAATTGATCCCGAGCCGGAGAATAAGAATTACATTTTATGCAAAACATACACCCATAGTTCCATTTATGAAAGCACTGATTCTCTAATAGAGAACAGTAGATCCGTTGAGAAAAAGGAGGAAGATTTAGAAATGGCTGGGCCATGTCATGCGCATTCTCTCTTTGAAAATGACAGTTCTGTGGCATCCAGTATGGGATTTTATCCTCAGAATCATAGATGCCTCCTCATTTGTGTCGAAAGTAGAGTTTTTATAGACTTCAAAATGGGCCAAGAACGCGCCTTGGCACTAGAGGAGTGGCGCTGCTGTTTGGTGTGATCTGGCACCACTTTTCGGGTGGAACTTAGCACCTCATATTCTCTAGTATTTTCATCATTACTTTCTCACTTAAGATCTGATTGAGACGATTCAAGTTGGGTTATAAAGATAACTCAAAGAGCTATAACATTACTTAAGTAGATATTTTCCAAATTAAATGTTTACTATGTCAAAAATGGGTTTCAATCTTGAGCTGAAAATCTAGAACATGCTTATGTGGTTAAAAATTAACCTCAATCTAATATTTTGATCATATTTTACTCATTTTTACTTCTAATTGCATTCAATTGACCCCAAACATTCTCGATTTTTATCCTAAGGTTCGACACAACTTCTGATTATTTACACTTTAGTCTCCAAAAATTGGATCTTGACGCCTACTGAGTAGCATAACACTTGGATCTTGCCCCCTCCCTGTTTGCCAATTTTCGCTTCTTTCTTTCAATTTTACTTCTATTCATCGAATTTCTCCCAATAAATGAATTATACAATAAATTTGGCTATAATTGTTCAAAAGAACTATTAAATGTCTATATTTTTAGGTTTAAATAAGGGAATAAAATACACTTATCGTTGACAAAATGTGTGGTTGAAAAGTTGTAGGTCCCATAAAATATGTGGTTAAAATTAAATGATGATTTTGACTTGAGATTCTAATTAGATTTTAATCCAAAACAAATAGGGGTTATATCTTTTGAAAAAAATGGAAGTAGAGGCT